AGAGAGAGAGAGAGAGAGAGAGAGAGAGAGAGAGACCAGCTGTTTAGGAAGCTAAGGTCAGGAAAGAGGATAATGAGAAAGTTAGCTGTTGTCCACCCACTCAAGAAAAAGAGAGAGTGACAATGGAGGAGAGAGAAAGGCAGAAAGAGATGAGCAAGGGAAGAGAGAGAAAGGTTGTCCTCCAGTCTTCAGGAGGATCTTATGAAGAAGAAGCTGAGCTCCTGTCCTGCTGCACCATCCGGGTTAACCAAATGGAACGACTCGGAATCCCCACCGGAGCCCCTTACTCTCCTAAAACTCCCCCTCAAATACATCAACTCCTCCCCCTCTCTCTCTATCAACCCCGCCCCAACACACACACTCCTCATCAGTCTCAGAACCCCCTTGTCCCCCTCGTTCATCCTTCTCTTCACCCCAAACCCAACTCTCCTCCCATTGCAACACACTTTCCACAAATTCCCCTCCAAAATCGACGACAATGGCTCCCGCTCCTGAGACTCAAAAGCGATTCTGACAACCCCTCCCTCCATCTCCTTAGCGAGCAGCGACGTCGGGATTCCAAGCTCCACCAGTAAGATAGGAGCGATAATTTTGCAATCAGGTTGGATGCAGAGGCTCACTTTGCCTCCCCTGAATCCGAAGATGGTTCCGGTGACGGAAGAGAGACCGGAGCGACAGCGCTCCGGATAACATTTATTGGCGCTAACTTCATTGAAGACATGAGATCTGCTGGGAGAAGTTAGTTGATTGAAGACATAGGGTTTGGTGGAATGGGAGGTGGATTCACTGAAGACATAGGGCTTGCAGGCGCAGCAGGGGATGAGGAGGTCGAGGATGGTGCGGAGGAGGCGGTAGCATCGGACTTGCTTCTCGCAATCGACGGCTGTGATGGGGAGAGTGGAAGACATGGTGGCGGTGAGTGAGTGAGTAAGTGAGGGTTTGGGGTTTAGAGAGAGGAGAGGGAGGGGGGTCGGGGGTTTAAATAGTGAGAGAGAGGGGGGTGAATGATTGGATGGCGTGGGCAGGTTGCCGGCCATAGGGGGGTCAAAGGCAAAGAGATTCCAGCTTGTAGAGCGTGGGAAGAGAGAGAGTGTTTGTGAGAATGATTGAAAGGTGCTCGGCGACTGTTCTTGTCTCCTCTGTTCCCCCCACCCTCAATCAAATACACCCTTTTTTCTTCTTCTTCTCTCATTTCATCTACGAAAAAGTTTATATAGAACCCACGCTCTAAACACTCAAATTACAACCCATCTCAAAAATTTCACTCCAATGGAATGCCTTCTTTTCATAGTCAATTATCCTCAAATTCATCATCTCTATCATAAAAAAAACTTGGATTTCAAGTTTTCGAAATAATGAATCTTATAATATATTTTTGGACCGTCAATTTTAAAATTTTCATATATTTCTTCAATTAACACTATTTTTTATGTTTTAAATTTTATAATTAAAAATCAAAATATATTTTAAGGTTATCACAAAGATTTTTCTAAAACTACATTTGTTGAGACCAATGGTTTAAAAAACGGATCGGTGACCTGGATCGGGCACCCAAAAAACCGATCCGGATCGGCGAATCGGCGATCTGGATCGGGAATCGGGTGAATCGGTCATAATAAAGCTTAAAAAAAATCCGAAAAAATTATTAAAATTCATTATAAATATTGTTTTTTAGGAATTCAATAAGAAATGAGGGTACTCCATTAAGAATTTTCATGTTTTTGAATGAATATGCGAATATTGATATGTTCTTTCCCTGCATGAACCGTCATTCAGCATTTAATTTACATCACACAAAAGGATAACCATAGAATTATCATGGAATAAGTATATCAACATACATGGACTACAATAAAGCATAAAATTAGTAACATATGATCTAAAAATAAAATGATAGACGACGTTATTGTTCTTTGGTCACGCTAGTACCATTGATTGAATTCGTTTAACAATTCATTGATTCGATCTAAAAACAAATCATCGATATTAGCAAGCGTCTGCACTGTCGTGCTCATCCCTACGCTGTTGTTGTTGGGACTCGATATGTGAATAATATGGCTGGGATAGGGTGGCCTCAGAATCATCATCTCTCTCATTTTCTCTTTGAATAATATGGATTAAAAAAAGAATAACAAATTTTCAAAAAAATCGATCATGGATTAAAAAAAAAAAATCACAAATTTTCAAAAAATTCTATCATGGATTAC